ACCAATTAAGGCTCGTGCTGAGATGGGGGAGGTATGATGTTCGCAACAAGCTTGCAAAAATGAGTTGTTCTATGCCGTTTATAGGCAAAAATGTAAAACGGTCAGATCAAATAACCATCGGCTGATTGAGTATTAAGCCTGCCTATTCTTGCCTGTGAGGTCCCAGAATGGGTCGATTCATTTGCACTGATGGTGAGACTCAGCCGGGTCAAAACAGCCATGCAGTGCTTCCAAACATTTCAGTTCATGCTTTATTTGCTCTGTACACGACGAAAAAAATCGTATCAGATTCTATATCCTGCATTACGTGACCGCGTGCTACTGAAGAGAAACACAAAGACTAAAGAATTATTCTACGCGAAGTGCTAGGATACGATTTGACACTTAGAGTGTTTAAACGTTGCCAATTTTTCGAATTTTCTGGTGAAACGGCAGATGGTTATGTTGTTTCGTCTGAAGGCCTCGCAAATGCATGCAAATTTTGTAATGGCATAAAAGTGAACTGAATTTGGGATAAAAGTGTACATAATTGGAATTTGCAAAACGTTCGTTGACAGAAAGCTGTTAGATGCAACAATTAAGTTCCTGCATTGAATCTGTTCAAACGGATCTGGTTTGATCCTCCAGAATTCATCTTCTCACATTATTCGTATCTCATCCAGTCCAACATAAACGCCTCCTCGCCTCTTGAGCCCCTCCAAAGCAGTAGATTTGGGTTTCGCTCTTATATGAGCTCGTCTGTAATGTACATTCGTTTGCCAATCCGTCCGGGGCTCCGAACACTATACGCATCGTATGGTGGTGGTGACAATGGCCACTGATTGAAATTCTGCACGGTATCAGGTCTTTCATACAGTTTTCAATGACAGTGATCAATCAGACGTTCTAGGTTAGATTTTTAATTGTCTAAGTTACTTATTCTATCCTGGTACTCACAAGTTATCCTGAATATGAATGAAGAGACAACCAGTCATGTGATGCCTACGGATTTTTCCGCTGTCGCGTCGTCTTCCCCAGACAAACAAACCTTCAATGATTAACCACCCCACTCCTCCCCGCCTACCATGAACTAGCTTCACGATATAGGTGATTAAATCTTTTCCATCGCAGCATGCTGTTCAAAGCCGTATTTCTCGGAAAAGACTAAATTAACGACCGATATGAGGATAAACTAACCACAAACACACACACCTTCCACCAAAATATTTTTCTACCCATCAGTAAACGGCGCATTCAGATCGCAGACTCAAAGAACAGACAGAATAGATTTATTCCAACACCAAGTTAGGATAAGTTTCATGCATAAAATGCACATCAGCACTGTTGAGTATGTGGTAGCCAAATCTCTGAGCTCAATAAATGGTTCATCAACCCCGAACGTTTGCCGAGTGTTAGGTATTTCTCGAACATGATTGACACCTCACCCGCGTTTTTAAACAAACTTCCACAGATTCTTTATTTCGGAACACGTGTCTCAACCACATCAAATGTGAGTGACTTGATGACCCACTTTAGCCTAAGTTCACGGATTCATTCTTTTAAGTGGTATTTCATCCCGCCGAAGCTAAGTAGGCCAGTTTGTTGGTTTACTACTTACGCTACACACAAATCACTAACCCGGTAATCAGCTGTCGAAGGTTCCCGATACCAAGACGCAGGAAGAAGGCCACGAAAGTAACGATAAATCTATTAGGAGAACTCAAACTTGCTAAAGAAAATTCGCAAGGGTTCATAGGGTACCAACCAATCAGCATTCGTATTCCTCCACGTGTAGTTTTCCTGAATGGGCCGGGACCAGTTTGACTGGTCCTGAACACCCGCTCCTTACCGAGACAGTCACGCATAGCTAATGATTGGTATTGTTAGCTATTCCCATGGAACCCTTCTCCACCTCGGCCTTCAAGGTTCTCACTTGAATATTTGCTACTATCACCAAGATCTGCATCCGTGGCAGCTCCACTCAGGCTCACGCCCGAAGCTTCCCGCTCACCACGGCGACTCTCCTACTCGTCACAACAATTCCATGCCTGAGTCATGCGGCTTGCCCTCACACCACACATTACCGACTCAGCTTGCAGTGACGGTCCGGTATAGGTCCGACGCTCCAGCGCCATCCATTTTCAGGGCTGGTTGATTCTCCTTGATTGCTATTGCTAGCTTGGGGCACCGGAATACGGCGCTTAGATAGACAGTATCCATTGATTTGATGGTACTGACTATGTGTGATTCGAGAACTCATCCATTAGGTGGGTTCATATGTGAAACTGTCTGTAACTTTTAGACACTTTTTGAATACATAGGTTTGTATAAATAGGAACCTTTTGCTTATTCTTAATTCATAGTATGGTATTTCGTTTATACATATATATATATATATATATCATCGGCTGTGAACAAGTATGATGCCAAAGCAACAACACTGATAACCCAAGATGGGGTGTTGGGGTACAGGCAAGGGTTATATGAAAATCAGTCACAGCAGATTTTCTGGTCTTATGGGATGTCTGCGGGACTTAGGCGTATAAAGTTGTGCGAAATGTTTTTCCGTTTTTAGGTAATTCGATTTTGTAGCATGGTTGATTGGAGCAAAATATTGATAAAGTTACATACTGGCAAACATTGGCAAACATTGTTTATCTCTTGACAATGAACGGCAAGGAACTCGTTTTTTGTTCACACAATAACTCTGATCGACGATTTATTCTACACCGCAATCAGAGTCCCCTAAAAACGATCAGATCGACAGATATTGTGGTACAGAAAATTTTATTCGTTTAAGCCAAGGTGAACGACGAAGTGTTGGAATTGTGCTCCTGGTTCGACATATCATGTGGGATCTGAACCGATCAGTCATCACTTCAGCCAGTATTGGGGCTGAAGTCCCGTCCAGGTATTGTTGCTTTCCATACTGTGACAGTTGCCGATCTTGACCAATAGACAAGGCGTTTTGGGAGTGGGTTTGTGTGGATTCCACCTAAAGTAGTTTATTTAGGCTTGAGTCACATGAAACCAGGGGAAAGTAATCGGTACTCATTCTTCGTCCAATCTATCAGTTCACAAGATTATTTTGAGGATGCTGCATGAACTGAAGTTTTGTAAGTGTTTAGTTGCCTTACATTATCTAAATATTTCTTGAATACGAGGTATGATGAATTCCTGTAGAATATGGAAGTACTTCGCACCATTCATCATATGTGGGTGTACATTTTCGGGTGGAAAAACTCCGCTGCTAATCCACTCTAATTTCGTAAAATCTGCAAAAAGTTATGAGTTGTTCCATTTCAACAGAAAACTTGAAACGAAATGTGCAATGATTGGTCTTCATATCATGTGCGCGCGTGTGTGTGTAGTTTTATCCCTCTCTCTCTCCCTCCCCTCCCCCCCCCCGAAAAAATTGATTTGTNTGATAGTTAAAATAGATAGAGGTACGGAAGTTGATTTCCGGAGAGAGAGAGAGAGAGAGAGAGAGAGAGAGAGAGAGAGAGATAGAAAAGATGCCTTGGACCAGATAACGATCGAATGGAAGAAGCGGTTAATCCACAAGTTAGTGTCCGGCATGGAGTGAATGGGAGTTTTGCGGCAGAGTGTGCAGCCGTTCAGACCTGGTTGAATATGTATGTGTGCGTGTGCGGTTGAATTGCACGGATAATGATTGTTGATCACAGGAGCTGAACAATGAGATCGATTGACACTCGTTTTGGGGAGAAAATAACAAGCTCAAAACTGGCGAATTTAGGGGACCAGTTTTTGAAATGTCAAATAAAACAAACAAAAGTGAATGAATTATGGTTTCCTTGATCGGTTAGTTCGTTCTTTCAGGTGGTTCTTATCGAATCTTTTTTCAAATAAAACATTAGTACATTACGATCACAGGTAAGAGATTAGCTTGCACTTTCGATTTTGAGTACTGGGTCTCCAAATGTTCATGATATGCTATAGAAATTCAAATCCAACCCACTGAATTAATTAGCAAACCCAAAACAATGTTAGTGAAATGGATTCGATTATTTTAATTACGTATTTGCTTGAGGCACTGTAATAGTAATAATGATAATAATAGTAATAATATGAAAATAATTTTAATATAAACTTGATACTTCCTTTGATCTCCACTGTTGATAACGTATGTATCACAACTGGCAAGGGAATAACAGGACAATTAGCGTGATCGTTTTACTGATGATGTTATCATTCCCTCTACAGTAACGATTTTCCGAGTTCTTTTCATCCATCAATTATTGGCTTTTCAAGTAATTTTCAACAAGGGGCTGCGGTCGGTCAAACACTCCCCTGATATCCACGAGCAACGGGAGGTTAGGGACAACGGTGGGATTCGAACGCATGACCTCTGAGCCAAAGTGACGCTGGCCTAGATCTGTTGATTAGCATCACCTGTGTTGAAGCATAAATACTGCACTCTGAGGTGTAACGGAACCGTGCGGCGTGGATGCACAAGTATGAAACAGGGAGCCCCTTGATTTGCAATTCAAGATCCTGTTCTTTCCCGTCCCATCGTTGTCCGTTTCACTCTGGTCGATTCACTGGATGCATCTGAAGTGAACGTTGACTGAATCAACGAACGTTGTTCAATGCAAACTCCTGCTCGTGTGAGCTTTGGGGCTTCTGTATATTATGAATACTGCATTATCTGTAATTTTCCGTACATCATTGCGTTGCGTTCTGTGACGTTCTGATCATTTGGGGTTCAACAGACTGCTCAAGGAATAGTTTTTGACCAACCCAAAAATGAATGTTTTAAATCTTCCTACCGGAGAAATTAAGGCCATAGTCACAGCAACCAGGATGGCATGGTTTAGAGTTCCATCACTACCTTTCGTCTTTCCCTTCTCTGCATATTCCCAAAGGACGTGGATTTGGCCGCAGTGCCCTCCCTTAAAATTAAGTGTGATTGTACACTCAAAAATGAAAGTACAGAAATTATTATTTGCTTATTTTATTTGTTTTTGTTTTTACTTGAAATCACTCCGTTCCCCATCCAGGGATCGAATGCGCACTGCAGTCAATGTGATGGGTGATTCCTACGGTGCAGCGATTGTGGCTCATTTGTGTCGAAAGGAGTTGGCCGCTTTGGGACCGCCGGAAACGCTTCAGTCTGGAGACAAACTGGGGACAGATGGGAATGAACGTGTCGGATCCGATTTGGAAATGGCTCAGGCCACTCGCAAAATGGAGGGAGAAATACGTTTATGATCTACAACACATCCCTCCCCTACACCCGTCATCCTGCCGGATCCCACTGAATCCATAACACCCTACTTTGCTGCCTTTAATTGTGGAAAATCCCCCCCCCCCACGCATATATATATATATCCCCATTTGTTTCTTGTTTTTAATGTGTGTCAGTGTGTAGATAGGATCCTGCGTTCACTCACCCAACACGTCTCACCGCGTCACAATGTGGATCGAAAAATCGGTTCCACTTGTGTTGTTTTGCCTTTCGTTTCTATTTTTCTGATTATGAATTTGATTACGTAATCTTTCTTTTTTCGATTTTCAATTTTCACCATTTTTATACACATATACACCTTCACCGGTCAAATGAATCCTTTGTCGTATGGAGCTGTTCAGAGTCGATTTGACAACTCTGATGAATGTCTTCCATCTAACCAGTGCAAACGTAACTGATCGATAAAGGTGTGGTTGATCCACTCCACTTTGTTTTGATGATTCTGTATTTGTAATTTCTTTTTAACTTTGTTAATTCTCAATTTATTCTCGCTCTCTCCCGTTTTTGAATCAAAAAAAGTTAATTGTGCATTCACTCGCTACTCCTTTTTTGTGAGGTGATTAAACCTGAATACAGACGGATCATGAAACCTCGGCTGTTCGTCGTGGTAATGATTTGATTTGATTTTCTGACGCATCAAAATACATCACAAACTCACGCAAATTCATAGTCATTCACTGGAGCTTCAGTGTTCCAGACTTGAACGGAAATCTAAAATGGTGTATTAATCCTAAAATAAATTCAATTCAAACCCGTTTACTACACTGTGAACCTGTACTTGTTACATTGACAATTTATTGAAAATCGGTTCTCGTAGCTCGAGTGAATTGCATTACATTTCGCCTGTTCGCCGAGCTTGGCAATTTGTTTTCAAACTGATGATGTCACCTCGGCTTGTGATGGAATGTTTGAACTTTTTACATTCTGGTTGTGAAATCTTCGAGTTCGTAGATCTATCTAATTTGAACTGCTCATCCACCGGACTCCATTTGGCACAAAATTCTCAGTTCGTCCAGGCAACCATACATTTGGGAAGCACTATAGACTCGAGTTTTGCTTGTACTAAAGCTCATCAGTGGTGCATATCCTCTGTACCGTTCCGGGGGTGGGGGGGTCGAACTCTGGACCCATAGCATGAAAGACAAATGTTTCCAATTTTCTAACTAGATTCTACCGGGCCTAACCTGAATTGTCAATTCGTATTTTTTTCTCAAGGTGTTTGACCTTGGTCCACAATTATCATTCGTCCTCAAGAATCCTGACAGTACGAGAAGGGGGAGGGCAAGGAGTCATCGAATGACCCCTGTGGTCGACGGCCTCGAACGGTATCATAATCGACGATAATCGATGATGATAATCGCAGCAGTGGTTTGGTCGCGGCCACTGACGTNTTTGAATCCTGTATTTCGCGGTTCAAGCCCCATCACGACCACTCCACTTTGGTGGTAGGCAGCTTTGCTGCCGTCCGGTTCAATACCACGCCTAACCTAGTGGGGCCTTATATGGTTCGCCACTCCAAGTCCCGTGATTTAGGTTACCAGGTTCCAGGTTTTCGTGACTATGGAGGTTACTCTATCTGCTGTTCGTCACAATAAAGTGTGTAATAAAAAGTTTAACAAAAAAAACATTAAACGTTGCTTTGGATAGCGCAAATCACGTGATAATTAAAATGATGGTTTCTGACTGCAACCGACTCCGCAAACCTAAGCAGTCTGGGGTTGGTCTTAACATAAATGGTATTAAATTGGCTTTTCGGATCCGAACCATGATTCAAAATCAACAGATGTCGAGCTATGGATGATGCAGAAAGTTTGTGTTTGGTGTCCCTGGGTAATTGTAGGGGTTGGTACTGGCGTAATGGTGTTCAGTGTGCTATTTTTTGTTTTTGCGTGTTTCTGGGTTTGAGGGGTAACATTGTACAATAATCTTTGATCATGTGATTCGGTCAATCTCCGACCACTTTAACACGGGGTGTGCTCCAGGATCCGCTTATGTAACTGCCTACCTGTGGTAGGAAACTATGGAAGTGTAGATATTGTTCCGTCCATATACTCTTGTGGTATACGGTCCTGTGAATTGTTCCATTTTGCATCATTTTCATTTGAATGTCCGAAAATGCGAGACGATCGTTTCATTCTTCTTCCAATGAAAAATGTATACTCCTGTTCAAATTGTTCATGACTCTTTACCTTTATCGATGTACTCTAAGGCAAGCTAAAGTTAGAGCCTCTATAACTCGCTTCATTGTGTAATCTGTTTCCTCTGAAACTGTCATTGAATGGCTCGGTATAGGTCGTACTTGCCCCGGTTCACCTGTGCTCGAGCCTGACGATTCACCTATCCTTTCGTTTTGCCACAGCTCACCTTACCCGACTAGACGAGTTCAATTAGCCCCGGGGTTAATTTGATCACGGACCTGATCTGCTGTAGTATTCGGAATAGGAATCGGGACCGAATAGCCCTGTTGCATTCAATAATAACTCGTAATATGCACGTAAGTAAATCCTTTTAATTAAGCACAAACCACTAGCATGGTAATTGACGTACAATAACAAAAGCATGTCGTCAGTCAGTACTGGCCGCACAAGTCATCAGCAGTCAGCCAATCAATAGCATGCAGACACGTGGTGCAGTCTGATTGGTCATTGTAATCAAGGTCGCATGTGAGGGAAGTCTGTGTCATCTGCATGTATGTTTGTATGTCTGTTTGTGCGCCTGTGTGTGTACATCGAGCATTGATGTTGGGCATTCAGTGTGAGCGATGTATACACAAGCTATCCAGCAAATGCATTAGGCCACCCATTGAACAGCTCAGAGTCTTGACTTTTTGGAACCAATAAAAGCTGCGGATACAGTTATTTCTATTCGGAAATTCACGCAAATAAATATTGCAAGCATTCAACAATCGTTGGTCGGTTCTTCATTGTCCAATCGAAAATGAAATGGCTTATTTGGTTACCTTCTTGCATTCAGCTAATCCGATCGATGCCCCTTGAGACCACAGGATTAGTTAGAAATTCCATTTCCTCATTGGCTACCTGGAGGCTATACCATGATGCGTGCGTACTCGTTGCACGATTTTCCCTCAAGAGTGCCTCATCAATTGAACTTGCTTTTCGCTTTGATCTCCTTAGCGTTGCATTAGTTGAAGCTTCTAATTCTGCTGGTTTTACTCCATCTTTTTGTTCAACATGATGACATTGGAGAACCGTAGCATCAGATTCAGGCGGTTCACTTGTACACTTTTTCATGGGATTTTGATGCACCGATAATTCGCTCGTCTCCGAAATGTATCTGGTCGACATACCAGGGAGACATATTATTGGCCCGGTATGTTAAAACAGATAAAACAGTTGATACATGTGAAATTTGCAGGTAGTTTGATCAACGACAAACGAAGGAACTGATGAATATGCGTGCAATACCAGATAGACCATGGCTGATCACAGCACAGCACATATTTTTTCACGAGAGAGACAACTACTTGCCACGTGTTGATTTCTACAGTGACTCTTTCGAAGCCGAATTACTACGATTAAGCACATCGCCGGAGATCATTGATAAACTGCGTGTTCATTTGGCACGACACGAATATCACTTCACGTGATTTCCGATGGTGGTCCCCAATTTCGTGGTACCGAATTCCAGAAATTCAGTGAAAGATGGCATTTTGAGCACCACGTTACTAGCCCCTATCACAGCCAGTCCAATGACAAAGGAGATTGCGCGGTCAAACAGTCAAAGAAGCTTATTCAGAAATGCGGTGCGAATGGTAGCGACCCACTAATGGCTCTGCTCGAGTTACGGAACATATCGTTGGTCATCATGAGAACCAGCCCAAATTCACAAACGGGACAGATGCATTGTGGTTTAGGTTCAGTCAGAATCAGTGATTGATGCCTCCTGTCTAGGGTGTGAATCTCAATGGATTATATGAATACGCGTGGACTGGATGAAACACGCATTTCAATTGGCTTGACAAAACATACTTTCATACGATAAATCAAAAATATGTCATTTCACGCATTTTCTTTACCAAAATTCATACATTTATCGAAAATTATCCACTATCCTGAGTACAACAGGTTAGCCGTTTATGAGATGCTGTAGACAGTTACCTTTGTCGGTTTACGTGTGTTCAACTAGGAGTTGGGAAACTGCAGATTTCTTTTCAACGCAGGATGTACAAGAAAGATTTCGAATGTCAGAATTCACTGAACCGCTGATCATTTTATTTTCATGCCCTGGTGGAGTTCTACTTGAGTGCTCTCGAGTTCGATCTCCAATTGGGTCGATGGATTTGGACTGCTTATGTGATTCTACCAGGTCGAAAGAGCTGTCCAGTGCTTAACCGGCTTTTCAGTTCACGCTTTATTTGCTCTGCACATGAATAAATCCACCATACAATTGAATGAAATCCTCCACCACTCTCCAATAGGTTGGGCAAATCACATGCAACTATAACGTAATTCTTAAAGTCGTAAGAACTCATAAGTTTACAAGCAGTGCCATAAAGCCAGTTCAGATAAGTGGAAAGCTGTTACCTAACCGACATAGAGAGCCAGTTTGTCTACATATGAATGAAAGTTAGCGGAAGTGGAACAACGAGATTAGTAAACATTTAAAAATAAACAGCTGTCAACTACCGACTCAAAAAGGACGGATTTGATAGCAGAGGAACACAACTGATGGCACTTAGATGTGGACACAGATGGTTGATATGAGAAACCAAAGGCTCTCAGAATATAGATTCTTTTGTAATTGTATTGTGTTGTATTCTGCATAACGTTTGAAAGCACTGAAGCTTACATTTCAGTTAAACATGATGATATGAAAACACAAATCTATGATTCACACAACAAAGTCACTACTGGAAGTTGGTAGAACACCTATCATTGACAACAACTGACATTGATGAGTATTGCAGATAGGTGGACGGATACAACGTATCTTTCTATCATAA